TTAAATATTACCTCCGTCCCACTGTCTTTGTCCACTTTTGACTTTTGGAACTGTTCATCTAAGCACTTTGACTCATCAAATTCTCTCAATGTGTAAGCCTAAAAATAGTCATGTGTGATCTTGTTTGATTCGTCTTAACATATAGATTATTAATATATAATTTCTATAATTTTTTAATATACAAATTACAAGATAAAATGGATTAAAGAAGTGCATTGGATAGTGTGCCAAAAGGTAAGTGGACAAAGACAATGGGACGGAGGGAGTACATAGTAATTGCTATTTTTGAAATAAATACTTAGTAAATATGAAAAAGAAACTATACTTCTATTTAGACATGAAAATATGATTTTTAGCGATTAATATATTTATGAAGTAATTTTCAAAATTTTATTTCCAAGATTTCTGAATTGATTTATTTAATTTCAAACTTAATATTAATTTAAAACACAAGATCTAGCCTATTTCAATCTACCACTACACTCTTATCAACCAATCACTCATTTCTCCACTATTTCTTCCCTCAACCAAAGTCACATGCAAGCATCACACTTAGAATCCAAGATGCAAGTGAAAATGTTATTGCATCAAATAAGTACAACATACCGCCTGTACAACTCCCTTGCAGACCGGAGGCCATCCTTTTGCACAACGTAATTTACAATGGTAGAAGAAAGAGAAATTCCATCATCTTTTCCACCATTTGCAGCCAATAAAGCCACCGAAGTATCCAGCAGTTTGTCAAAAAACTTTTTATGGCTTGAAAAATGCTTGAGTGCCTACACATTCATTCATTCACCATGAAAAAAAAGGAATTTGGTATTCTAAAGGTCCTTATAATGCCTATAAAATGATAGAGACTAAAAAGAGTTAGAAAAATGCACAAGCAAGGGCTTGTGAAATGTCCCATGATACAATGATGCTCTATTGGGCTTACAAGAGTAATACTCCCTCCATCCCCACATGAACAACACAATTTCGTTTTCTATAGATTCCAACATAACTTACACCTTTTCTTTCCTTAAAAAGAGAAGAATAAGTGACTAACAACAATTCTTGCTCCTCTAAACAAATGTTATCCACACAGTTTTAACTTTTCAACAACTTTCTTAAACTCAGTGAAGTCAAACTATGTCATTCATTTGGAGACGGAGGGAGAATTGCTTGGTATGAGAGAAATTGGAAAGTTAAACGTTAAAACGATACTTTTAAGGGTAGAGAGTGATAAATAATTAAAAAACCCACTTCTATCATTCATATCCACTTCAGGGGAAGAAATGAAATTTAAGTGGGTCCCACACTTATTAAATATTTGCTTTAAATTTCCCTCATAAAGTCATACACAAACAATGGATATACGCTCCCTCTACTGTTTTCCTCTTTTCACTCTTTCTTTCTTCTCAATTTCCCCTAAAGCATGCAAAGGCTAAAGGCCAAATTAACATACAGAAATCTGAGAGGATTATGCATACCATAAGCCACAAAGTTTCTGCCTTTGATATAGGAACTTTCATTAGAGCCTTTTTAAAGAGTTCAAACAATGATGACTTCTCCAAAGAGGTCCCTTTTCTGGTGCACAAAGCTTCCATGGAAAACCATAACACCCACAAATCCACGGTTTCAGTGAATTTTCCTGAGCAGAACCTTTCTACCAGTGCCTTGGCTTCAACTTGCTTCCCCAATTGTAATAGGAAAGAAACGTGTTGACAAGCGAGATTTTCAGTGATGCACCCTATGCTTTCAGCCTTCTCATACACCGTCAACAGACGTGAAATGGGATCAGCAGTATGGCCATTGGTACTTAATATATTGGAAGATTTGTCAGCTCCATCTTCATTTGAAATGACTTCCTTCAAGAACTTGGCATAAAGATCAAACATTGCGGCTGAAGGCACAGCTACCAAACCCTCATCATATACCTAACGTATTTCATACAAGCAAGTAGATAAGCCTATGAACAAAATAAACTGCCTGGCAAACATGGAAAGAAATGACAAAAGGACGACAAATACTTGTTATTAGAAGGAAATATCTATAGAAAGTTGGCGGAAAAAGAGAGGGGATTTTCCAAGTGAGCAACCATGGGAAACAGATTGAAAAATACAGTAAAAGTACTGTCCATGTCCAAAAAAGTCATGTATGCTTCAGGAACTTATTTTGTTCCAAAAGTCAGGCTATGTAAGATTGCTAATTTGCTACAAGCAAACCAGCAATTCGTTGTAGTCAATGACTCCCTTTGTGAAAAACAGAAAAAGTTTTAGGGGCATAATTTGTACAAGTTTGCACCTTGATTCAGTTGCCTACAATAAAAAATCTATGCTATTGTAAAGAAACCCCCCTAAGGGAGTCAGTGACTAGGTATTCAACATATATTGCTATAAGAGTACCCATGGTAGAGCTATCATACCTCAACTGCTCTTCTTAAGCGATCAGTACTCATAGCTTCTGCAATGTTCACTGTGTTTCTAAGACCAAACATTTCCAGTCTCGCCAGCCAGTCCCAATATTCTGGTTGTCTACAGAAGTCCCTTTTCAAATCATCAAGTATCTTCTTTTTCATATCTTCTGAGTGACCTATGTCTATTGCTTCCAGTATCTCAAGAAACTGCACTCTCAGACTGAAACTAGAAGGGATGGCTTCAATTGCACTGCTGTAAACAGTTTGAAGAATGGCTAAAGCATTCTCTTTTAATAAATCAACTTTGTCATTTTGCTCCACATCTTGAGGATTCAATGTTTTTTCTTCCTCACCATTTGAATCAATAGACATAAACAATTCTTTGTTCTCCTCTCTCCATTGCTTCTCTTCTACTGTTTTATGATCCTGAGTCAGTGTGCCAACATCTTCCCCTAGTGCTACCTTCCGAGCCTTTAATTTATTAAGGTATGTGAGCTCCATGCGGAGATACTCAACCCATAGATCCTCAGAAGTCGGGCATGCTCTAAAACCACGTTGCATCAAGGCACGAGCAGCTGAAGCATTTAGGTTTTGGTCGAATTCCCAAGCTGCAGCATAAATCCATAGCCCAGGCACAGTTGGATGAAGCCTAATTGCATCAACCAGGGCCTATTCAAGCAGCATTTACAACAGCAACAACAACAACAACAACAACAAAACATTAATACACAAGAATCAAAAAACAACATTCGAAAAGGGTATTACCCTTAGATTAATACACACAAATGGCAATGATAGAAACACAAACATTAAGTAATATGTAATTATGAATGTAAATGCAATCTACCTTCTTCAATCTACCGTTCCTTCGCTCTCTGCAGAACTCCAAATACTGAAACCAGAGCTCAATATCCCCCTTGAACTTAGTGGTAGCCACGCGATAGAGCTCCACAATCCTTGTCACGCCGGAGTAATCAGAAACCGATTTCTTCGCCTTGGTGTATCTGCCCTGTTTCACCCGGGCTTTCTTACGGAGGAGGCGGAGGGCGTCGAGCTGCTTCTCGTAGTCGATGTAGGCCGTGAAATCCGATTTAAGCGGACTGTGCCTCTTCAGCCGGTACTCGAACTTGCGGCGCTGTTTGACGATCTCCGCTATCTCGGCGCGGCTGAACAGCCCGCGTTTGTGCAAGTCCTCCACCTCCGGGAGGATCCGCTCCAGCTTGTACTGCACTACATCCGCCATGTCTCCCTTCCGTTTCCGATTCCTCCTCTTCTCTTTCGGACAATATTGAAGAAAAAACGACGAGAAAGAGAGAGAATAGCGGAATTTCTGTGCTCTGTGACTCCGTGGTGTTGAGGAACAACGGCGGCGACGACGGTGGAGAAGGAGATTTTACTGGGGTTTTGGGCTAATTTTGGGCCGGACTGTTGTGGGCTAATAAATAATAATAAGCTAATAGTTGGGCCGAAAAGTCAGAGTCCCTGTGTGATACAAGTAGCTGTACCCACTAAGGTATGGAACCAAGTAGTATTCATTTTAAAATAAAGTACTCGGTACTATTTATTCTTATACAAAATGTTAATGTTCATTTTAATATAAAGTAGTACTCATTCTGAAATAATATAGTATTCATTCTGAAATAATATAGTACTCATTTTCATATATTTATTTAATACAATTATAATTTCATTTACAAATAATGCAGTGTTACTTCTCAGACAAAGTAGTATTTATTCTTATTTAATTAACTTACTATTCATTCCACATTTTGAGTCTTGTTGGAGCCCTTCTTCGCCTTCATCGTGAAACACTCAAATTAGTGAATCCGCGACTTCCGCCGCCACCTAGGTTTTTGCGACCGTCGTCACCATCACCTTCGCTGCCCCCTGGCGTCGTCGATCTGGTGTGCTGCCCTCGCGTTATGCGCTGCTACTTTGTCGATCCGGCGCGTTGCCCTATCTGTATTCCTCAGTTTTTTTCTTTTCCTTATTTTACGTGTAAAGTCAAATCAAGAAAATTATTTAATTATTTTTGGACGAAATGAATATAATTAGATCAAATCAAAATTTAATTTAATAATGTTAGAGCAAACCCACAAAATTACAAAATATAGCGTGGGCCAGGGATGTAAACGAACCGAATCGAAGCGAATACCGATATATTTGAATTTGTATTTGTTTAATTTTTTCGAATACGAATCCGAATCCGAATATGAGACGAATTCAAAATAAAATTTGAATAAGTATTTGATTAATATTCGAATAATTATCGAATCATAAACGAATATTTGAATAATCATACTATGTAATTTATATGATGGACCAACATCAATTTGTAATTTAACTTACGATACTATTTATACTATACTATATTCCGTATATAAAAACATTAATACATCTGCATCTTACACAAATTATATTTTATAAAATATAACTATTAAAAATCATATGCTTTAGATTTTCGTGTTACGTTAATTTATTGAATTCTTAGTATTTTAAATACACTATACTATATTACTTTGCTTGACTTTTGATGTTGAAAACATGGTCTGTGCATATATACATATATTCGAATATTCGAATATCATCCGAATCGAATATATCCCTATTTGTATATGTATTTGATTAATCTTCGAATCAAAAATAATATTTGAATTTGAATAACGCGAATTCGAATCATCATATTCGAATACAAATCGCGAATCGAATTTAAAATATTTGATTTGTTTACATCCCTAGCGTGGGGCATGGCATATTGGAACCTTTGGCTCCTTAGTGTTTTCCAAGAAAAATGGCTGCACGATGGCACACAGCTTCAGTCCCGTGTCTCCTCTGACAACTCACGAGCAAACCATAACACCCTCCATTATTGGGATTTACTGCCTCTTCCTTTCTATCTCTCCCTCCCTCTCCCAAACACATTCTCCTCTGTATTTCTTTCCTTTCTTTCCGGGCTTCTTTCTCAGTGCTTTCTTCACACACGTCTTCAAGACGCCATTGTTGTGAACCAGAGAGAAAGTGGCTGAACTGGTAATAAATAGAGGATGAAGACAGGCTACAGAAGTTCATACTTTCTTGTTCTGGGTGTCTTGGGAGTGATATTCCAACTCTTTGGGGTGAACGGAGACAACCCTTACAGATTCTACACCTGGAAAATCACTTACGGTGACATTTACCCTCTGGGTGTCAAGCAACAGGTGGTGATTTTGAAGATTCTTTGATTCTTGTAATGAATAAAAATTGATTCTTTTTTCTTTATGTTGCAGTAAATATTTTTTTCTTACTTATTTCTTGTTCTTTTGTAGGGAATCTTGATAAATGGGCAGTTTCCAGGCCCGCAGATTGACTGTGTCACCAATGACAATTTGATTATCAGTGTCTATAACTACTTGAATGAGCCATTTCTCATTTCTTGGTATGGATTTTCTTTTTTGTTTTTTAATGCCTTGATTTTTTGGGGGATTTGAGTTAATCTTAGTATAGTTGTGTTTGGCAATCCATTTCAAGTCAAAACATGATTTTTTGAATAAAAAATTGAGCTGTGGGTAGTTCAAGATTGTAGCTGTGGGTTCAATGATTTACGAAATGATTAATTACAACTCTTGTCTCTTGTCATTTTGTGGTTTTCCATTCCAAAAAAACTTTATCTACTTTTTCTTTTTTGGAGAACTTAAAAAAACTCTCCATTTACTTTATTTTCTGTTTTGGTAATGAATAAACAAATTCTAACTATACATTTTACGGAGTATATTTTTTAACATTTTTAAACTCAGTGAAAGTCAAAAAATCAAATAGTGAAAGTTTTTTTTGGATGGAAGGAGTACAACATATTAAGCAACTATTTGTAATTTGACTTTAATATTTGTGACACTTTCTTTTGATATTTTGGCATTTCCCTCTTTTATAAACAAACAAAACAGCCATCAACAGTTCAACACCAATTTAACCTTGGTTCACTCCTCCAAACAAGGAATCACATCCTCTCCATATCCCTAAAGCCATTTCTGGAAATGATTGATTTTTTCTCCAAAAATAGTACAAGAAGAGTTATATTATTTGCACACTCCATTTAAAGTGATAAATCTAAGTTAGGGGTTTGTTTTAAGGCATCATTTTAGTGACCTTTTTGAATGCTCTTTTTGCTCTATTGATTTCATTGTGTAGTAAGGTACACAACTCATAGCCTTTCAAAGGTTCACAACTGTTCACAACTTTATGAAATGCCCATTTTGACCCTCAGGAATGGGCTACAACAGAGGAGGAACTCGTGGCAGGACGGGGTTTATGGCACAACATGTCCCATTCCTCCGGGCAAAAACTTCACATATATGCTCCAAGCAAAGGATCAGATAGGCAGTTATTTCTACTTCCCATCCCTTAGAATGCACAAGGCTCTTGGAGGGTACGGTGCCCTACGAATCTACAGCCGCCCCCGCATCCCCGTGCCTTTCCCTACCCCTGCCCGCGATTACACTGTCTTAGTTGGAGACTGGTTCAAGAAGAGTCATAGGGTAAGCACTTTATCGCCTTGACGTTGTAATACACACACACACACAAGTAGACAATATCATACTAATGTGGAGTTGAGGTGACAGCAGACACACTTAACATGACATATATGCATTTAAGACCGCGAGAGATGATCTGAAATGTGACTTGTTTTGTTTGGGTTTGCAGCAATTGGTGTATATTCTTGATAGTGGCCATAGCCTTCCCCTTCCCGATGGGCTTATAATCAATGGCCGTGGATGGAATGGATATACATTTATCGTTGATCCAGGTCTTAGAAAATCCCCCAAACTCTTACTTTTTTCCCTTCAATGTAGGACTTTTATATCCCCAAAGTGTAATTTGGGTCTTTTTGTCTTAAGAATGATGAGATTCCATTTCAAAATCAATTGATAATTCGACGAATAACTCATACTCTTATATATTGAGACTTTATACCTTCAAACAGAAGAACTAAAGAATCAGTAGCAATGTGCAGGCAAGACGTACAGGATGAGGATATCAAACGTTGGAGTGGCAACTTCGATCAACTTCAGAATAGAAGGGCACGTGATGAGGCTGATAGAGGTGGAGGGGTCCCACACGCTGCAGACGGCGTTCAGTAACCTGGACGTCCATTTGGGGCAGTCCTATTCGGTCCTAGTGACAGCTGACCAGCTGCCCAAGGATTACTACGTGGTGGCTTCTTCCCGGTTCACCTCAAGGGTCCTAACCACAACCGCCGTCCTCCACTACAGTAACTCCTTTCTGGGTGTCTCTGGCCCTCCCCCCAGAGGGCCAACCACCCAGATTGCCTGGTCCCTTAACCAGGCAAGATCCATCCGGTTAGTTAACTCTCTCTTGTTAAACTTTCATCTTTCCCCTTTTTTTACTACATTTGTTTGTGGTTTTCTTTAAAAAAAAACCAACTCAGCAAAAAGCTCGAGACTGTGGTTGTAGGTTTTGGAAAGATTTGTATACTCTAGGAGTCTTATATATTGGTTTATACTCCCTCCGTCCCTGAATACTTTTCTCCTTTCTTTTTTCATCCGTCCCAAAAAACACTTCTTATTTCTATTAAAAAGTTACTTTTACCCCTTATTTTTTCAAGTCCTACCTATCACATCATACCTTTTTACTAATAATCTACTCATCAAATCCTACTTTTACCCATCACATCAAAGCACATATTTGGAAATTCAATACCAAAATACACTCTCCTTAAATCTCTTCAAAATCAAAACATCCCCTGTTTAAAGGGACGGAGGGAGTATCTTGGTAAAGTCTGCGTACCCACGTCCTTCCCAGACTCTATTTTGTGAAAATTTACCGAATTTGTTGTTTGTATTTTTATTTGGACTTGACGAATAAGTTTTCGTTTGTCAAACCAGATGGAACTTGACGGCAAGCGGGCCCCGGCCGAACCCGCAAGGCTCGTACCATTATGGGATGATCAAACCTTCGCGCACAATCATGGTGGCAAACTCTGCGCCTTACGTCAATGGGAAGCAAAGGTACGCAGTCAATGGCGTGTCCTATGTGAACCCGGACACGCCATTGAAGCTCGCGGACTACTTCAAGATTGGGGGTGTCTACAATCTGGGAGGCATCCCCGATTTCCCCCGCGGTGGGGGGGCATACATTGCCACTTCAGTTATGGCTGCAGATTTCAGGTCCTTTGTGGAGATTGTTTTTCAGAACTGGGAAGACACTGTCCAGTCTTGGCATATTGATGGGTATTCCTTCTTTGTTGTTGGGTATGACGATAAAACACTTCCATGCTCCTTATTTTTTTTACATGCCGCGCTCTCTGAATTTAGTTGTCCACTTTCTAAAAAAATGCCTCCCTCCATCCCAAAATGAAAGTTTCATTTTTCAATAATTGGATTCTCAAAACTAGAGTCACTTTCCAATTACTTTTTTTTTCATTTGCGTTTGATTGTCGTAGAATGGACGGGGGACAATGGACCGAGGCGAGCAGGGTGCAGTATAACTTGAGAGACACAGTTGCGCGTTGCACGGTTCAGGTACAAACACCACATATTATGGGTCTCTTCAAAACAACGTTTTTAATATCCTCAAACTCATGGAATGAATGTGGACATGCATCACGTCTACATTCATTCGACATTTGATGCATCACAAAAGTCATAATGACTTGTTCGAATGTGAATGGAAGGAGCGGCGTGGTTGTTCTAATAGGGTTTGTTTGGGTGTGTGTGTGTGTTTTAGGTGTACCCGAGGTCGTGGACAGCGATATACATGGCATTGGACAACGTAGGGATGTGGAACGTCCGATCCGAAGAGTGGGGGAGGCAGTATTTGGGACAGCAGTTCTACCTTAGGGTCTACACTCCATCAACCTCTTATAGGGATGAGCTCCCAATCCCCAAGAATGCCCTTCTTTGTGGCAGGGCCATCGGCCATCGCACGGGCACCAACCCTTCCTTTTTAGGACACCACCACCCGTAATGTCCTCCCGCATGTCTTTTGTAGAGATACTCCTGTGTTTTCTTATAGCTCAACTCGAGCTGCTGTTTTTTTAAAGGCTGGGAATAGACATTTTGGGTAGTTTTTTTACAGATTACACAATATTGTCAATAGATAGTCTTTTCAAGGCGCTATATAACTACCCGTTGAGAATGTTTTTAAACAGGCACCAAATTAAGTATGTTTAGGAACACTTCTTTTTTTAAAAAGTTTTGTGGGAATGAGTTTAGTGAGGTTTTAATTTGATGATGTTTTGAGAGGCAAATTGCTAATGATGTTCATTCCTAAATTCGTAACCATTTTGAGGGCATTATTTGACATTATTTTTGGCGAGTTAATCGAATTGTTAAGGTTTGATGGTGCATTTAAAATTTAGATTTTACTATGCTAAGAGACATTCAGATTTATCTAAACTTTCTGAATTCTATGTTTAAAATAAATACTTTTTGTTGAAGACTAAATCAATTTCATATACCCTCTATTTTTATAGTAACATGAAATTTAATCACTTTAGGAAATTAACCAATAGGCAATAGGATGTGTGTGTGTGTGTCTGGTGCTATTATTATGGTTGTCATTAATTAGGTTTGTCATTAAGTTGTGATGGGTAATGTAAGTTAATTTGCAATTGAATTGCATGCAGTTAGCATGCACAAAACTCATCAAACAATTAACCTAATTACTCTCTCATCCTAATCTACTTCTCAACACAAATTAACTACTTCCTCCTATATTTGACTCTCATTAAGTTAAATAAATGTTGAAAAATAAAAAAATGTATACCAAGGAGTACTTGCTTAAAGGAAAAATTTTGTGATCCACGTGTTCTTTAAAAAAAAGAAAATAAATTAAATGAGAAGTATTTTTGAGACGTCCAAAAAGAATGATAAAGTTTTTTTGAGATGAATTGTCATTTTTCCCCAATCTCTATAAATCTCATCAGTCATCACATTGTCATCTCATATTTGTCATCCAAAAACACCATAAAATTCTCTGTAGCTAATATTTAATTAGTATAATCATCCATGATGGAAAAAGATAATCACAATAAGATTATTCTTCTTTTGGTTCTTGCCGCAACCACTTGCATGGCCGCCGCAGAGATGGAGAAGGAGCTGACCGGTGGCGGCAACGTACACGAAATGTTCTTCCGCCACCGCGTCTTCCCTCCCTATCTCGGCGGAATAGGGTTTGGCAGGGGGGCGGGTTTCTTCCCCGGTGGTGGTTTTGGTGGAGGTGGTTCTGGTGGAGGGTTTGGAAGCAGAGTAGGGAGTGGTGGTGGTTCAGGCATTGCGGGCAGCATTGGGCAAGGAGGTGGTTCCGACATCGGAGGGTCGTCGGGTGGTGAGGGTGGCGGTAGGTTTTACCGCGGCCGAGCCGACGACCACGGGGCTCACACAACTAGTGTTAGCGGTAGAGGCGGAGAAGCCATGGCGACGGCGGCGGCTGAGGCAAAAAATGAAGTTGCTGGTCCTATGCCTTGACCGGCTGCAATTATAATTCATTTTCTATAATATTAATGTCTGTTTATCATTCAAGAAATCAAATATTGATGTCTATTTTTGGATGTTACAGTATTTTAAGGTGTTTAATCTACATTTACAATGAAGTGTGTTTACTCTTGCATTTAATATATTCCTTAGGAAAAAAGACTGAAATAAAAGTAAAATATTAAAAACATTTCAAAACATAATTTCATGTCTTTATTCTCGAAATATGAGTTAAAACGTATTTACATTACTCAATATGATCATGTAAATTAACAAAAGTATAGTAATGTGCACATATACAGTGTCACATTACCACAGAAAGGTACAAATAAAAAAAAGTATCCATAGAAAGGTACATGTAAAAAAAATACCACGAACATAACATTTGATAATAAAAAAAACCAAATATATAGAAATTTCTTTTTACAAAAGATCAATTCTAGAATTTATTTTAATTGTGACAATAATTGTGAAATGAAGAGAGTAATATCTATCAACTTCACAATATGAATAGATATTACATATTTGAATCAATAAAACTAAAAAACATATTATAGATTTGTATGATTATACACCATATTATTTATAATCATAATTCATAAACGGTTCCAAATTGTCCCAATTTCAAATATGAAAGAAATAGAATAGTGTACTTTCAAAAAAGCACGATAACGTCACCTCTTACAATCCCTTTTTTTTAAAAAAATTGTTTATCTACCTTTTGGGACGTCTTACAAAAATCCGTCTTCTTTCACAAAAAATTTTAGTAACTCACAAAATTCTTTCTTAGATATATAGTACTTTCAATCACATAATTTTACTTTTTTGAACTTTGTGGTAAGTAAAATTAAGAGTATTTTTTTGGAACAAATGAAGTAGTAGAGAATCTATGCGACTCGAATACCTATACTGAACATCTAGATCTACTTTGTTTCATGCATACCCGTGAATATTCATATTCGAGTAACTAAATATTTATATTTGGATGATATAATACTCTCCCTGTCCTAACTTCCCAGTTTAACACTTGTGGTAAAAATTTTCTATACCTTGATTGATATTATGGAAAAATACATCAAATTTTAATATAAATTTAATATCAATAAATACATTTTGAAACATAAATTTGAAATTTTTTATTTTATAATATATATTTATATGTAAATAGAGATATTAATAGTCAAAATGTTACATTGAATAGCGCAAAAGGTGAAATGAGAAATAACTGAATATTTATTTTCGAAAATAAAAATAAAAAAAATGATATTCACTTTTACTCAATTACTTTACGTTGTGTTTGTTTGGAGGTAGGGGAGGCAGAAAGAAGTAGATTTAATATTCTATTTGTTTGCTGACAAAAATTTAGATAGGTTAATGGAGGCAGAGAGAGAGGTAGAAAGATGTAGGGTTATTTCTCTTTCGATAGTAGATGTTAGGTGACCCCCAACCCAAATAAATATAAGGTGATAAACGATATTCTCCGCGGCTACCCTTCACCCGATCGCCATCTTCACCGGATCAAAAATCAATCGCCATCTTCACATCGCTCTTCCGATCGACAGGTATTCCGATCGCCATCTACTTACTATTTCGATAATCTTCCCCTTCGCTGCTTTTTTGTTTCAATTTTCACTTTTTTTTCGTTCACTTTTTTTTTTAAACTTCAATTTTCACTTTTTTTTTCAATTTCCAGATTTCGTTCTGCTCTGATCTGCGTACTTCAATTTTCACTTTTTTCAATTTTCAATTTTCGTTTCTCTTTTTTTTTCCTGTTTTTTTTAATGGTTTTTTCTGTTCTTTTCCTGTGCTTCTGCCCAAATCCAGGACGGTATGCTTCTCTCCTCCTCTTTCGTTTTGTTTGTTTGTTTGTTTGGGATCTGCTTAAATTTCTGTTTTATAAAGCAGCATAGTTTTTATTTATCAGATGAATTGAGATTCTTTCACCATTAATCCGCCTGCTTTGGAAGAGATTATGAAATAACCGAAGTGTTTGTTGCTCTTGATGTTCTTGGATGATCAATACCCAGCTGTGGTTTGTGAATAGGCTTTGGTTATGATTATTATAGTCTTCCCTCAGAGTTGGTGTTTGTTCTAATATGTCTAATATGTCAATACCCAGCTGGTGTTTGTTCTAATATGTCAAACCTACTAGAAAGAGTTGCAGAAGATGGTTGGGTTTCTGGTTATTTTTTTCTGTTTTTTTTTCTACAATTGTGTAATTTTGAGTACTCTTTTTTTGCAATTCTAGTTATTGTACTTCGTTTTCTGCAATTTTGTTGTTGTACTCTGTTTTTTTGCAATTATCTGGACTTGTAGGTGCTAGTGATTTGAGTTCTTACAGATTAACGTAAATTATGCTAAATTTTGATTAGCTGCACTTATATAAAATGATGTTACTTAGAAGTTTCATCCTAGATTATTTATTTAATTTTAAAGTTTTACATTTAAAATTTAAATAAATTCTAATAAATTAATTAAATAAATGTTTACAATTTTCTAATAAATTTTAATACCGCGATTCCTTTCGACTCTGTGAAGGTGATCTTTTTTTTCTCACAAGTTATCCAGTTTTCGAATCCTACACTGATTTTACGGTTTTCTTGTTATTATGCAAAAGGATGTAGCAATAGTGGCTAAATTTTGAGAATTTTTCACTGGACTCTACTGAAACTTTTGCATTCGTGACTTGTTGGCTAAAGAAATATACCTAAAACAAGACATATTATGGTTTACCCCTAAATAGGAGTGTTAGCTGAAACCCCTGAAATTTGGCATAATGTGTTGGTATTTTACATTGTCTTTTGGCATTGGTATTATAACTCATAGTTTAGTAATCCATCCATTCACCAAAACAGTTCTTACCTTGACAAATGGGAGAAATTAGGAGTGTATTTGTAGCATAGTTAATAATGGTGCTTTCCATTTGCGCCAATGGCAGGCGTGCGGTTTCCGCCCTAATTGACTTTGGCATGACGTTTTACCCATGGTGCGCGAGAGGCGGTCTCTATTTACGCTTCTTTTTCTGGAGAGAGGTGAAAGCCAACTACGCTTTTCGTGTGGTCAACAAAATTGCGATCTGAATTCTACAATTCAAGGATTGTGTGGATTGAACAACGATCTGGAAGATCAGACAACCATATGATTTTTCCGGATCGGCAAGTTTCGATGATCCTGAGATCCAAGGTAGTCAAACTCGCGAGTTGACTCGTACGATTCAACGATTTTGAGGATCGGCAGAGGCTTACCGATCTGGGACGGCTGCAGAATCGTGAAATCCATGGACTCGTTCGGATCGACGATTCGGCTCGTGGAAACGCAGGATCGGCTACAATCGCCGAGTCTAAGAAGTCCAAATAGTGTCTCTTCGAAATCTCCTTCCAATCGATTCTGGAACTGCAATTGGATAGTCGCGCCTGTTGCGACTCCCAATTTCTATCGGAAACAGGTATCTCCCTTTATTTATTCCCAATTTCAATAGGAAAGCAGCGTAAATAGATTCCCAATTTGAATAGGAAAGCAGACGTATCTTCTTCTATTTATTTGGGAATCGAGACTTCTCTGTGTATCAGTCTTCCTTCTTTTTTTTTTTCTCCAGCGACATTTTTTTTCTCCTGGGAATCCTCTGTGTCTGTCGCAGGCTTCTTCTTTCCCTCTACTCTCTTACAATGTCAATCCCTGCTTCAGCCACTCCATTTAGTAGACCAATTGCAAAAAATGCTCCTGGGCAGAAAACAGATGTTGCTTGGGAACATTGCAAAGCAATTGATTCTAGCAATAGAAAGCTACAATGTAATTATTGTAGCAAAGTCATAACCGGGGGGGTGTTCCGTATGAAGCATCACTTAGCAGGGACACAAAAGGATGTGGGTGCTTGCAAAAGTGTTTCTGATAAGTTGA